CAAGCTAAAAATCACATATTATGATCATCCTGCTACATAATGTAGAGTTTGAATGGGATAAAACGGGTACAAAAGTGATAATATTCCATATAATCTCGAAGATTCCACTAAATTTGAGGAGTTGAGGGGTGGTTGTAATTATCTAAACAAGAGGGGTGTTTTTGTAATTTGCCATACCTCATGGGGTGTTTGTAATTTACCCTAATAATAATAATAATCTTATATATAAAAGGAAGATATTTTGACTTATAACCCTAAACCTAGGGACAACTTTGTCAATTACTAAATCGACACTTCCTTTTTTTTTTTTTTTTCTTTCTTTTTTGCGATCATTTGCACACCCACGATCACTGAAGACTAGGGAAACAAAATCCCACGATATTAAAACTACTTATGTAACTACTTAACACACGATATTACCCACGGCTCATGAGTGCGACGTTTTCAATTTTATTTTTAAACTAATACTTATGTGCTTTGTTGTTTGTAGCAATTGAGGCATCCACGCAATAATTATGGAACCAAACCACAGATTTGTCGAAAGAGGTAATGTAATTTCACAGATTATCATTTCAAACTTTTCGCAAATTTATTGCATTTCGACATATTTAGAGTAGTAATATTTGATCACACATCAGGAATTAGATTTTGAAATTGCTGTAAGTAATCCGATAGTGCTGAAATTCGGTCTAAATCATGCTCCATTAAAATGCTTTCACCACATTCTTTTCCATCGGTGTGCAGTTATTATTATTTATTTATTATTAAACATCTTTGCAGTTATTTAATTAACTATCCAATTTATTTTGGTGTTGCAGGTTTTATTTTTAAATTCAATTGCATATACCTTCATGCTTTATACTTATTACCATCTAAAATACAGATTTCCTTATCTTTACAAGGACCGAGATTCGCTGGTGGAAACAGAAAAAACTATCACCGCTAACTTTTTGAAACTGCAGAAAAAGGTAGGAGAATTGGAGATTTTTTAACAATTTGAGATTGTAGAGTTTGTGAAAATAAATGACATACAGTGATTCACAAGTCACAAAGTTGAAAAAGATGTTGTGCGAAGACAACAGGTTTTAATTTGTATTGGAATTAATTATTGTGTATTTTTTTCCCTTCATATATATTTACTCGCATTCATAGATTTTTCACTCACTTCTTATATTTTTGTTTCTCAAACAAGTGTCGCAGTTTTTCAGCACAAAGCAGTTTCGATTCCGCAATGTCACACATATTTTTCTCGAATAAGTGGATCAGGTCATAATTCTGCTTATTCATCACCTCGAGGAAGCCAAATGTAAGCTCTTCCTTCTTTTTTTTCCTTTGATCGAAATTTTGGGATTTCAGACATTAGTTTTGTAATAATTAATTATGTCTCTGTTTGTAGCATTGAGGAACAGGAAAGAAAGACAACTACGAAAAGGAAGAGATGAGAAGTCAAGTGAACAGAGACTGCACAAAATCCCCTTCCTAAACTTGATTGACCGTTCCTGTGCAAGACACAATTGTTTTTTTCTTTTCATCATCTGTTGTTTTGTTTTCTTAATTAGTTTCTGTTTTTTTTCCTGAATACCTTTTCAACGATTAATTTTTTGTTTCTAATTTTTCAGTTTTTGTTTCGCGCCTATTCTGTTTTTCATCTTCATAAATTTCCGGGTTTTATTGTCTTTAACAAGACTGTGTGAGTAAATATATTTGTTTGAGTTAGTGTCAATAACTCATGAATATTGCAGTTTGTACATTTTTTTTTTTCTCGAGGTCAAGAACAAGTTAGGGGGCATAATACATATAATTGTCTCTTATGCAAGAGACCTGGCCCCGTGTATTATCTCCTCCTTCCAATTTTGTTTCTGCAAAAATTAAAAGTACTCCATTTTTCAATACGTTTTCACTGTTATTCTCCAAATATGTTTTGTTCCACAGTTTGTAAGTCAGCAAAAAAAGGGAGAGATATTTTGTTCAGCACGTGTGATACCTTTTGAGAGTTACGGAGTTGTATTATTTACACTCTTTATAAGAAACATGTGTTCCATTATTTGAAGCTTTTGACCGATTTTGCTAAAAAAAGTTCTCGGTTTCACTTTTTTCCTATATACTCCATA